GTGAGTGTGTGAGAAGGTGAATGCTGGGAGCACGTAGTGAGTGTGTGAGAAGGTGAATGCTGGGAGCACGCGGTGAGTGTGTGAGAAGGTGAATGCTGGGAGCACGTGGTGAGGTGTGAGAAGGTGAATGCTGGGAGCACGCAGTGAGTGTGTGAGAAGGTGAATGCTTTGAGCACGTGGTGAGTGTGTGAGAAGGTGAATGCTGTGAGCACGTGGTGAGTGTGTGAGAAGGTGAATGCTGGGAGCACGCGGTGAGTGTGTGAGAAGGTGAATGCTGTGAGCACGCGGTGAGTGTGTGAGAAGGTGAATGCTGGGAGCACGTGGTGAGTGTGTGAGAAGGTGAATGCTGGGAGCACGTGGTGAGTGTGTGAGAAGGTGAATGCTGTGAGCACGCGGTGAGTGTGTGAGAAGGCTGCTTGCTGCTCAGCCTGATGACCGAGTTACATGGTCCATCCAAGAGAACAGATCCCTGCAGAATGTCCTGTGATCCCTACGTGTACACCATGTTGTGTACTTACCTGAGTTTTAGGTCCTCCTTGTCTGACTCAAAAAAACTTAATCCCAGCCTGGTGTAGTGGTGCACAGCTTTAATCCCAGGACTGGGGAGGCAGGGGCAGGTAAATCTCTGTGAGCTTGTGGCCAGAGTTCCAGGACAGCCAGAGCTGCCACACAGAGAGACCCTGTCTCAAAAAAAAAAATTGCTATTTACAGTAAAATAATCCAAGAGACTAAAAGAATGCCATTGATAGATGTTTTGTTGTTGTTGTTGTTAGTTTTTTGTTTGTTTGGTTGGTTTTTTGAGACATGGTTTCTCTTTGTAATAACCCTTAGCTGTCTTGAAACTAGCTTTGTAGACCAAGCTGGCCTCAAACTCACAGAGATCTGCCTGCCTCCGCCTCCTGAGTGCTGGGATTAAAGGGATGCGGCACCACTGCCCAGCTGATAGATGTCTTTTTATAACCGAACCTTGGAGACAGAATAACATCACTGATACATGTACTGTGGAAGATGCCAGCATTAACGCCAGAAGGCAGCCACCAGTAAGACCATTATGGAGGCTACTGCGTTAGATAAAATTAATACTCTTTTCATTTGATCATTAAATATGTATCATAGCATCTTGGTAAGAAGCCTGAAAACCTTTCTGTCTTTTTGCTGTTGAGGAACAGAATATAGCTTTTTACATGCTAGGTAGGGATTTCCCCACTGAGCCAGTTTCCTGGTAGTTTTTGTTTTTGAGACAAAATCTTGCTGTGTTGGTCAGGCTGGTCTCAGCTTACTTTGTACCTGGTGTGGTATTAGATGCACGATCCTCTCCAGCACTGGAAAGGCAGACATGCCCTGTGTGAGGCTGGAGAGTGAACCCAGGTTTCGGGGCATGCTAGGTAAGCATTCAGAGTTAGTTAGTTAGAGGGATGGGCATCTTACTGATCAGTTTCTTTTTAGAAATATTTATTCTTATGTATATGGGTTTTGCCTGTGTGTATGCCTGTGCATCATATGTATTCCTGGTACCCACAGGGGCCAGAAGAGGGCGTCGGATACCCTGGAATTGTAGTTACAGACCATTGTGAGTCTGCTATGTGGGTTTTGAGACTTGAACCTGGGTCCTCTGTGAGAGCAACCTTTCCCCAGCCCCCTGATGAGCTTATTCTGGAAGGATCAGTCCTCAATACCACACTCTTCAAAGAAAAAACAAACTGCTTCTGAAAGCAGCCGCTGGCCCTTCTCTCACGGGAGCTGCACAGCTAAAGCTGTATTCAGTCTATTTTTGTGTTTCTTCCTTTTTCTCTGTTCTCTTCAGGTATCCTCTGCTTCCTTTGTAGATTTTTCTGGCTTTCTCTTTGACCAACTCACACTTGGCACCAGCTTCCCATCTCATCTGGAAGTCATAGCATAAGCTATTTTAAGCAAAGGAGCTTTCCCTAGCTTTGCTTCCCTTTAGGTTTTGTTTGGGTAAAGCTGGATATTGAGCCCCGGGCTAGGCAAGTGCTCTGCACTGAGCCCTGTAATTGGCCCCTAATGTAAGCCACAGTGTGTGCACTAGGGTCTGCGGTGCTGAGAGCTTGTGGCATAGCAGGTCATGTAGCTACAGTAATATCTCACGGTAGCTTATTATTCCTATGTTTTTCATAGAAGGGAATTTAGTTATCAGCATGGTTGTACTAGAAAGACTAGAGACCAAGCCCCAGACGTCTCACACCACCCATCATCACAGGGAATTGACCTGAGCCGTCAGTGTAGCTGAGGGGAGGGAGAGAGGCTTGTTTTCTCACTGTCTTCAGTTTTGGTTCTGGGAAGTTGCTCCCTTAAGGAGAAGTCTTTGTTGACATTTTGCTTGAGGGGACCACTTGGTTCCCATTGTAACATGTTCCCTTCTGCTGGGGGAGTTTGAGGAGTGGTGTAGTTCCCTTGAGGGAGTAATGCACTCTGCTTCTAGGGGCTGTCTCCTCAGAGTTTCTCTAGCTGTAGGGCTCCAGTGCCTTTGAGGATGCCTAGAGACTTGAGGCACTGTTATGATAGTCAGAGCCCGAAATCTGCAGGATCCTGGGAAGAGCCTTAGACTGACTTCTCAGAAGGCTACTTTTGCTGATCTGTGAACTGCTGCGTTTTCCTTGTAGACCTTATTTGAGTATGGTTTTGGACATTTGGGGCCAAGGTTTGCTGGATCTGTTGCCTTGGGTGTGTGTCTCCATCATGGCCAGGAAGCAAAGTGTAGTTTTAATTTTCACAACTTAATGCTCAATGATGCTCTAAGTTGGTAAAGTCTCTTTACATCTTTTCTAAAAACTTGAAATATTTGTGTAAAGTATCTGTTCACATCCTCTGTTTTACAGGACTGAGGGTTGGACTCAGGTCATGCTCTAAAAGCTACATGCCCCTGTAAATGATGTGTGTGTGTGTGTGTGTGTTGTGATTTTTTTTCCTGTTTTTTATGACGTTGTTCACTTTCTGATTATTGGGTTGTGAGAGTTTTTTATAGATTTGTGCATGGCATAGCAACACTGTAGTCAGTAATGGAGAGCGGATGTGGTGGTTGGTTCTACAGGGTACAACTAACCTTGCACCCCTGGGAAGCCTTTTCCTGTAGGTGATAAGTGTTGACCCTTGCAGGTGATGCTTTCTCCCCATGTTTTCTCATTGTCAAGAGTATAGTTTTCAGAGGCTTCTTTGCTTATTTTTCTCTTTCTTTCTTTC